CCTCTCGATGCCCACAGCATTGAACGCATGGGAATGCACAACAAATGGAGTATCTTACATTCCATAGTGCTTTCTTTTTCAAAGCTCTTTCAGTTTATTAGAACATGGACTTGTATCACTTGCTAATTTTATTTTTTTTCCTAGTGATCATTTGGCAACCATCCACAAACTAGGTTATTGAACTAAATTTTCTTTCTTGCTTGCCTTTTTTTTTTTTTTTTTTGATACCGGGCTTTGAACTTAGGACCTTTTGCTTGCAAGGCAGGTGGTGGAACCACTGAGCTAAATCCCTGGCCCTGGCAAATATTTTTTGTAAAAAAATATTTAAGGCTTTGCAGGACATATGGTTTATGTTGCTCCTATTCCATTATGTTACTGTAGTGTGAAAGAAGAAAGGATTTATGTTATCGATACAAATTTGAACTTTTATAATTTTCATTTATCATGAAATATCATTTTTTATTTTACCTTTGCTCAAACTTTAAAACATTTTTTTATACTTAGCTTACGGATGATGTAAAAACAGGCAGTGGGCCCAATCTAGTCCATAGGCCATAATTTGCCAAGCTTTGTTCAAATCATGAGTCACCTTGCATGTCTTTCTCAGTTCTATGTCCTCATTATGTAGAATGGGGCCAGGTACAGTCAATACTCGATAAATAGTTGTAAAATACATTATTCTTAGTATTTAAAATATTTTACATTTGGCTATACTGTGAAATGCCTTAATCCATTTTAAAACAGGACAGGATATAAACACATAATGCATATGTTTACAATGTCATCTAGCTACAAGGTGGGAAAGTCAGAATTTGGATTGAAGCCTATGTGACTGACACCTAAATCCATATTCTTCTCTTTATACCATATTATCTTCATAGAATCATATTCTCCAAAACTTCCCTCTGGATCAACCACAGCCCCTTGATGAGTCTTCATGTATATATCCAATGAAATTCAACATCTTGACTCTGTATTAATTTCAGAAGTCTGGAGTTTTGTAGCAGTTGTACCCTTTTGTTCCTACCTCTTCCAACTTGGAAACTGAGACTGAGATAATAATAATTTATAGATTCAAACCTTCTTATCACAAAGTAAAGTGATAGTTTGGCCTTTGTGGAAAGAACACAGACTTTGTCCTCTGCCAGATATGGTAAGACATAGATCCCAGCTCTTCCAGTTACCACATATAAATAATTTTTCTGATAAGAAAAATTTAAAAAACCCACATTTTACACAGTAGGTTCATGACAGTAAGAAATAGAATGACAGCAACTAGTACAGTGTCAGGTACACAGGAGATATTTAATAAATGGCAACAGAATCCAGAATATAGATATCAGTATAATTCAATATTTCATTCCACAAATAATAAGTGCCTACTATGTGTCACCCAGGGATTGTTTTAGGTACTGGGGATATAGAGAACAATATAACAGGCCCCTAATTCTTCCCGTAGTAAAACTTGTATTCTAGTGATTGATGTGAATGGCTTTTATGGTTTCACACACCATTCTTGGGTGAGCATTAGTAAACCAGAATGGATTTCCACTTAAAGATATCTCCAAAGCCAAAAGGATCTCAAAGTAAAAGGTAGTTGGGTTCATTTAGTGTCAAAAAGATTTGCAAACACTTACCCTCCTTGTGTTGAGCGAGAGGCCGGGGAGCTTGTCTCTTTATGTGCAAAGAGGGGGTCTTCATAGGCCCAGAACCAGGCACAGGTCCATTGGTGGTTTTGGGGGTGGCTTTGGTCCCTCCATCGTGTAGCCTAGACAACAACTTCCCCACATCCACCTCAGGGCAAGGATCCAATTTGTCATCTGAAACAGGTCTGCTTGGAGACTTCCTCCCAGGATCAGCTTCCCCACTCCTCGGCATGGGTAGTTTGAGGTGTTGTGGCAATTTGGGGGGTTCTAGGCTGCTAGTGATAGTACCATTGGGTGTGTGATGTTGGATCTCATCTGGTAAAAGATGGTACAAAAAGGGAAGACTAATGATAGCCTTTATAACTTTTTCATTTTGATACATGCATACATATGTAATTTTGAAAATTTGTAAACATTTTCATAATACTATATCCTGTGGCACAAATCTACTACATCCCACAAGATTAGTCTCGACCCTCTCCGATTCATATGTAGTCACAAGTTCCATCCAAATAAGGAATTCAATTCAAGATCCAAGTATATTTTCACCACCACAATTCAGTAAACTACAATAAACCAGGCTGTTTTATTCAAAGGAATATGTAATTCAAAAGGGACTTAGAGTCTCCAATGAATTGCATATTTTATTCTTTCTAAATAAAAGCATCAGATAATTCTTACCTATTTCTCTCAAATGTAATTTGTTAAGGTCTCTCAAATTTCAAGTTAATAAACATAACAGAATTTAACTTCTTTCTCTGCTCTCATAGAGAAACCCTCAAATGGCCACTTTATGTTCTTCCCCTGGCCTTTGCAGTCTACAATTTCCTCTGACATTAATATATGCTTGTCAGTAAGTCTGAGTCTTATTTAAGGATTCTCAGACTCTAATGAGAACCAGGAACCTTCTCTGTAGAAAAATTAGCCTCTACAAATACAGTTGAAGCTTTGAAAACTAATTTTAAAGTGATTCATAGAGTCCCATGAAACTGTCAATGACCACTCCCCGCTGCCCCAGATCAATAACACCTACTCTAAGAGAATTGTCACCTTCTTTGGTAATAGAAAGTCTAGATCAGAGTGGTTAAGACCATAGGTACTGGTGAGCAAATTTGCAAAATCAGGCCTGAGGTGAATCAAGACTATAAGACATGAATTGTATTTGGATTCTGGTTGTTTTTGTTTTTTACACCAGATAACAGAAAAACTTGGATGTTGTCTAAATTGATTTTTAAGAATTATATTGTTTGTTTTTGGTATAATGAGCATGGAAGTTGTAATTTAAAAAGAGTATCTTTTAGTGACCCACACTGAAACATTTAAATTTATAGATGAAAGGACATTATGTTTGATTTGGGAGTAGATATTGGATATAAATGAAAGAAGAATGTTCACAGAAAGACAAACTTGGAGGAGCAAAAGATCATGGTTTGCCTAAGAAAACATTTTAAAAATAAAAAGTCTAATTTGGGGCTGGGGATTTAGCTCAGTGG